AAATCGTGTTTGGCACCAAAGGTGGAGATGGGGACCTCCAGCCACAACGACGTGGACCTCAGCTGGATCCCTCAGGAGACCCTCAACCAGATCAGTAGGGCTCCTCTCTCTCCTTCTGTCTCTCCCTTTGTCTCCTTCTGTCTCTCTGCTTCTTCTGGAAGTTGATCCTCATGATGAATATTTGAAAGCATCTAAAAGGCTTCAGAGGTTTTGTAGAGAACATAAAGATATAAAGTGACATTCTTTTGTTGCTCGGACGCTTTCATCTCTGCTGCCGTTTTTCTCGCAGAATCAGCTGTTCTCTCCCTGTTTGACCTTTAACCTCCACTCTGCATGAGGGTCACTCACTGTTTCTCTCTCATGTTTCCCTGCGTCTCCAGTGCAGAGTCGCAGAGGTGAGATGTGTGTGTGTGTGTGTGTGTGTGTTGCTTAAGAGATGAAATAACTAATGAACAACACGCAGCAAAACGTCTTCAGCCTCCGTTTAAACAGAATGAAACATCTTCATCACGGAGGTGACTTCTCTTCTTCTCTCCAGACAAAGCGTCTCCCAGAAGATCTCCTCGCAAGAGGAACCAGAAACGCTCAGCCGGCTCGGACGAGTGACGGTCGCCATGGCGACGGTCCACAGAGGACGGATGAAGACGGGACGAGTGGGGACTCGTTCCACTGAGAGACTTTAAACACACAGGGATCATGTGACTGGGTTTATCTGCTCGTTTCCTCTGTGGGAGACACAGCGTTGATGGATTCATTCCATCCAGAGGAAACGAGCTTCTGCTTTCATTTTGTTTTTTAAATGTGCAGGAAATAAAGTTTGATTTGATGTCGTCTTTGTTTGTTCTGATAAGTGTTTACGACACATTGATGTATAAACGTGTTATAACTTAATAGTTGAAGTAGCAAAACAAACTTTAAAATGCAGAAAAGAACTAAATAATCAAGTCACTTTTGAGACGATTGTTTCACTTTTATTATTAATTTCCTGCTGCAAAAATAAGAATTTAATCATACAAGTATGTCAGCAAAGTAATACATGGAGGGACTAAATATACTGTTAGAAACAGAAGTACCTGATATTATCTCATTAAACATTTGAAGTAGAAATCTGCTAAAATATTCATATTTTCCTTATTTGTCGTTTATCAAACGTCTACTTGAACATTGTGACACATAAAGATGAAGATTAAACATCTAAATGATAATTATTGATTCCATCTGAAACACCACAAGTCCCAGAGAGCTGTGGACCCCCCAGAGTCCAGACCAGCTCAGGTACCCCTCACCTGCTCCACCTGCATCTACACCCACATGAACCACCATCAGCTGCACAGACTGAACTATGTGGTGAGCAGTGAGGAAGGTTCTCCACCAGGAGGAGACTCTCCCTCCTGCAGAGAACACAGAGACACTGAGGAACCAGAACAGGAATCAGAATCATGCCAGGGTACAAACCCAAACCCAGGATAAAGAGGTTCAGTGAATGTGGTGCTGAAGGTGTGGAGGTGGATCAGTGTGTCAGAGGAGACTCTGTAGAAGGACAGAGACCCAGCAGGACAGTCCACATACACTGCTACTCTACCAGAGGAGGAGGAGGAGGAGGAGGAGGTGATGGGTGTTTCTGTCTCATTGTGATAGACATAGTAACCTTTATCATAGCAGTTCAGACTCCAGGACTGATCATTGAATCCAAACAAACAGTCATTGATTCCTTTCCTCTTGATTCCTCTGTAACTCACTGATATAATAATGTTTCCTCTCCACTCGACCTCCCAGTAACAGCGACCAGTCAGACCAGTTCTACACAGCAGCTGATCCCGGGAGTCAAATCTGTCTGGATGATCAGGATACGACTGACCCTCCTTCACACGTGTCACCTTCCTGTTGTTGTCAGACAGTTTGAGTTGTGTGTTTACTGTGTTTGTGTCGATTGTGAGTTCACAGGAATCTGATGAGAGAACAAGACACAATACAGCTGCAGTTATTAATCATGTGTTCATCTACTGACACGTTGATGATGACATCACAGAGGTGAATGAGTGATGTCACAGTGTGAAGATGGTTGAATCTTCATGAATCAAAGCACACTTACACTTCCTCAGACCTGGTCTCAGCCATCGGACTCCATCAGGCTCCACCCTGAAAGGAGGAGGGGGGTCAGAGCAGCATGGAGACGTGGACATTACATCACACACAGCTTTGTCCTTCATGTCCACATGGAGCACCTCTTCTTCTTGTGATTGGCCGATGACCACAGCTCATCATGTTCACTCATTCATCTATTATTATTATTATTGTCAGCATCATTCTACCGTCAGCTGTCTATTTCACACTCAGTTTCCTTCAGCAGTCAGTGAATAAATGTTTAAACCTCATCAGGTGGTTTCTTTGTCCACTTGTGGTTCAGTGACAACAAGCTGTGAACACAACATGTGACATGTGATCGTCTTCTACAGTAGTTCTGTAACATGAGATCAAGCAGCTGCTTCCACATCCAGCAGGTTCACGTCAACATGAAGGTTCCTCAGGAGTCTCAGTGTCACCTGATGGACCAAGTCCACTATTCTCTCTCTTCGGTCTCCAGCATCTCCTGAGGAGAACATCTTGTCCTTTCTCAACGTGTCATTTTGTCCTCGTGAGACGTCATCAGTCGCAGCCCGAGTCCTGTTCCAATTCTAAAGTCCACATCTGGCCGAGAACCGTCATAATACCCAGATGTGACTCGCCCCGCCCATTTGACCCAGAATGCATCAAAGCAGGCTCCTCTGGTCAAATATCCCAGAATGCATTTCACCTCAGCAACAGTGAACGATGCCAGAGGGTCACAGTTTATAAATACTACTAACGTTCTATTTAAGTCTAATCCACATTTCTGCGGTCGGTTTGTCGACATTCAGCCTCGGTATCGATTTGCTGGATGTGGGAGATGTGAGGTTTAGTTAACGGGACCATCAGACTCTTCTCAGCCGGTTCTCAGGGAGTCTTCTGTGAAATGACCCGCTGGTCTCCACGTCTCCGTACCGGTTACACCTGAGATACAACTAGAACCGCAGGGTTGGTGGTTCCAGTCCCGGCTGCTCCGTGTCCCATGTCAAAGTGTCCCTGAGCGAGACACCTGACGTTTGTTGGAGGACAGATTCATAACTTCATGTTTAAATTGAACTTGTCTGTCTCCATCATTGTGCATTAAAACTAACGATTCTTTAATTAAAGGACAAGCGGAGACGTCATCGAGACTCCAAACCGGCAGCAGGCTCCTGGTCCTCGTACCTGGTTAACTGAGTTAGCCGGATCATCTTCAGGATGAGATGATGTCGTTCAGGCTTTTCGCTTCCCTGAAGCAGGTTTGTCTAAATCACACAGCAACACATGGAAACACTTGAGCTGCTCCGGTTCATCTGAGCTGCTGGATCA